TGTGGTTATTTAAGACACAGAAATATATACTTTCACTAAGTTTAGTCAAAATTAAGTTATTTTTGTTGAAATGAGAAATAAAAAACGAAAAAAACAATAATAAACTGACTATTTTCGACTATTTTTTAAGTTTAAAATAAACAACATAAAGATTTGAAGTAACATTGAGGTTATTATTCTCTTTTTCACAAACCTTTTATCTTAGAAACAGCAATATATATTAAATATTGTTATAAAAATTACCAATTCTTAAGTGTTTAACTGTACCTAGATTTCCCCACTACTTCCCGCTGTATGCGTCAAAACAAAGCACTATCTATCGACTGTCACATCGCCCTCTTTTTTTTACGAGAAAAGTATTAATGACTTGACGCGTGGCGTGCAATAAAAATCACGCGGCGCCAACAAAAACACCGCTTAGGGCAAATCGTGATACAAAGAGCGGTTAATGATGCAAAATAGACTTTAAAGCGTTAGTCACGCCCCATTCTCTGACGTCCATAAGTTATCTTTCACGGGAACAGGGGGGAAAATCGGCGCGTTCCCCTATATTTGAGTTAATCATGTACGTAGGGTGTATGGGAGTTCATTGTAGACCTTATAAGTCTTAGTTTTACTCAAAAACACTATTCTTCAAAAAATATTATTGCAGTACTTATAAAGAGTGTCCCAATATTCCCGCAATTTTGATAGAAAACAGTTTTTTTTTTATTAAAATTTGAAATGCGACTGAATTTCGTTGATACAGCGTTCAATTTTCTCCTTCAAGGCGTGGATGGTCGTGAACTTTTTGGCATAAACCTTAGAATTTAAAAAACCCCAAAGAAAAAAGGCCAACGACGTTAAATCGCATATTCTGGGCGGTCAATTCTGATCACCAAAACGGGAAATTACACTACCAGAAAATGACTCATGCAATAATTGCTCAACAATCAAAACACATCGGTCTTTCGTGTAGCGCTCTATTTTTAATAACCCTGAGCTGTCAGTTCGCACGCTGTCTTTCTTTTGTTAGATTTGAATCTATTTCGTTTCTTTCAAGTTTGGGCACTTCAAGGATCCATTTTAGGCCCCTTTGTATTCATTAATTTTGTCAACCATTACAGCATATAATGATATAATTTTTTGTGATATGCCAAGTACCTACAGGATTAGGATGTGAGATGAATAAAACCTTTTGGCTGATGGGTTTTAGACTATATTTTTGTATAATAAATACATAACATTTATACAACTTATTATTATGGCAGCCATTCTGTGGCCCCTTAACAAAATGGCTCTCTGACATATAGTTACATGACTAGTTCTAGTATATCTATGATATTTTTTTTGAACTTACTCGTTCCTACTCTATCATTTTTTTTTTTGGTACAGGGCGTCCTCCAAAAAACGGTGCATGTTATAACCCCGCCATTTTTTCGACTCGATTTTCAAAAACAGGGGAATAGGTACATGGTAACTCGATTTTCCGATGCGTCATTATCATGTTAATTTTCATGGCATATTTGACAACTTTCTGGGAGCGTTCAAAATAGCAGAGTTATAGCTTGCAGGGTTTTTTTGAGACACCCGGTATTCTTTACATTCTATTAAGCCGTATTACAACAAATATCCTTTGTATATTAGTATATTAACTATGTACAAACGGAATTCTATCGGCAAATAAATTTTAAATAAAAATAAATATATATTTGTTTACACTTAAAATATGAAGGAACGTAAATTCGAAACGGCCGGTTACAGAAAATTTGGATGTAAATACGTATGTAAAACTACAGGAATATCAACTGTGTCCTTGAAAAAAAATTGTAGTTTCTCCTTTGGGGAATTGTGGATTTTTTGTAACCGGCGTTTGGGTAACATATAAAATGTTATCACAGACGCCGCTGGTGCGGTTTTGTGCCTTTTTACAAATTTAAAATTTTCCTATCTTATATACAATCAAACATTGCACTGGTTACACCACTACTTTAATAATAAAACTTATAACAGTAACACTTCCTTTGGGTTTTGACTAGATCTGGGAAATTTCACAGTAGCAATGACAAGGGAAATTATAAGGAAAGTCAAGAATATAACTTTCGATACCACCACACGCTGGTATGGTGGGCCTTCTGTTTAGCCAGAACATTTTAATTTAGAAAATTTGTCAACTCATTTTTAATATTCTTATTATTCGTCTTAGAACGGATTTGTCATATTCTTGACTATAGGATTTCATTACAGCTTGTAGAAAAGTAAAAACTCTACGTTTTTCAATAAGTGATACGAATTTTACACAAGGTGTCCCAAAATTCTTGTTATTTTTCCCGTTATTAATAATATGGTTTCAATAAGAATTCTACCTTCCTTTTTTATACCAACCAAACGTCGTTGACGATACAGACAGAAATGTATACAAAAACTTACTGTTGAGAGGAAAATTTTCACCACCCTGTATATTTTAGTACATTGTTGACCTTTTCCTTCGCAGTTAATTTCAAAGTCTGTAAAAGGTGAATTTTCTGGTCATTAAAAATTGGTAACAGTCTTCTACAAGTATCTACATTTTGTCTTGATGGAGGCGGACAGCATTTTTAAACCCCCAAAATCTTACAGAGTACAAATAAGTATCGATAGATGGCGTTACATACGTCTGGATACTTAATTCTATGTCAATGATGTTCTAGTATATACGCCCCATGACATATAATTTAAAAGCGGTTCTTTGTATTAAATATTTAAATGTTTACTTATCTTTGGACACATATCCTTCGATAAAGCTTACATGTTTGAGTGACTAAATGCAGATACGCCCTATGGCGTATCTTCTGGAAGATAACTCTTTCAACTGTATATTTTTATGTAAGTTTGTACTCTCTCGTCAAATGCAGCAACTTGCGGTATCCGAGGTCGTATATACCTCATGCGCTCCAGGTCGTTTGTACGTTATACGCCCCAGGTCGTATGTAAGTCATACGTCATACGACCCAGGTCGTATGTGCATTATACTCCCCAGGTCGTATGTAAGTCATACTTCATACGTCCCAGGTCGTATGTACGTCATACGCCCCAAGTCGTATGTGCATCATACGCCCCAGGTCGTAAGTCATACGTCATACGTCCCAGGTGGTATGAACGTCATACGCCCCAAGTCGTATGTGCATCATACGCCCCAGGTCGTATGTAAGTCATACGTCATACGTCCCAAGTGGTATGAACGTCATACGCCCCAGGTCGTATCACGGGAACAATTTTAGAGGTTTAACAATGCTTACCACCCCCCTCCCTTTAAAAATATAAATGCTGCTCACACTCGCCTCCTCGGTTACATGGTCAGCTTCCTGGTCCAGTCTGACCCTGGCGACGAGTTGGAAGAGGGTCATGCGTAGTGCGGATATGAGCCTAAAGGGGGCGCCCCGAGATGGGGTCCCGCGTGGTGGCTGATGGAATGCGTGCTGGCGGCGATGTTGGAGTAGAGGTTGGCGCTGGGATTGCTCCAGTACGACCCAGGCGAGGGGAATATCGACGCTGAAACAAAGTAGAAGATTATTTCAATTTGATATATCAAACAAGGAAAGTGCAGTTATAGCTAGGATTACTTTTAAATCTTATAAAAGACCTTGCTCGACCAATTTAGACGTCTTTTCGACGTATACTCCATCGGAGGTTTTGATTAAATTGAAAGCCAATGGGAAGGGACTACAGATCGTTTTGTGTAGTTTAATTGATATTGAAATATCTTAAAGACGACCAATTTCGACTAAGTTAGACGTTATTTCGACGTATCTTACTATTTGGGATATAGAAACGTATTAATAGAGAGCAACAAGGGAATTAAAATTGCTGTCTCAGCGTGTATTGTTTAATATGCGTAAGGATTACTTTTATATCTTTGAGATAATCTAGTTTGACCAACTTTGACGTTATTTCGACGTCGATCGGTTTGAGTTGAATTAGGACTATTTTTACGCCTCAAAAACAACCTAAAGTCACCAAGTTAGACGTAATTTCGACGTATCCTCCATCGGAGGTTTTGATTCAATTGAAAGCTAATGGAAAGGGACTACAGGTCATTTTGTGTAGTTTAATTGATATTAGAATATCTTAAAAATGACCAATTTCGACCAAGTTAGACGTAATTTCGACGTATCCTCCATGGGAGGTTTTGATTACATTGAAAGCTAATGGAAAGGGACTACAGGTCATTTTTAGTAGTTTAATTGATATTAAAATATCTTAAAATGACCAATTTCGACCAAGTTAGACGTTATTTCGACGTATCCTCCATCGGAGGTTTTGATTCAATTGAAAGCTAATGGAAAGGGAGTACAGGTCATTTTGTGTAGTTTAATTGATATTAGAATATCTTAAAAACGACCAATTTCGACCAAGTTAGACGTAATTTCGACGTATCCTCCATCGGAGGTTTTGATTAAATTGAAAGCTAATGGAAAGGGACTACAGGTCATTTTTAGTAGTTTAATTGATATTCAAATATCTTAAAATGACCAATTTCGACCAAGTTAGACGTTATTTCGACGTATCCTCCATCGGAGGTTTTGATTAAATTGAAAGCTAATGGAAAGGGACTACAGACCATTTTGTGTAGTTTAATTGATATGAGAATATCTTAAAAACGACCAATTTCGACCAAGTTAGACGTTATTTCGACGTATCTTACTATTTGAGATATAGAAACGTATTAATACAGCAACAAGGGAATTAAAATTGCTGACTCACGTGTATTGTTCAATATTCGTAAGGGTTACTTTTATATGTATCTTTGAGATAATCTAATTTGACCAACTTCGACGTTATTTCGACGTCGATCGGTTTGAGTTGAATTAGGACTATTTTTACGCCTCAAAAACGACCTAAAGCCACCAAGTTATACGTAATTTCGACGTACCTTGTTACGTGATATATGAAAGATACTAACAGTGAGCGAAGGGGGAATTTTGGGTCACTGTTAGTAGGTTCGAATTCGCCTGTTCTAATAAATATGCAACGGCACTTGTAACACTTCCCAAGAGCAAGGTAAACACAAATCCGGATCCACCCGTCACTTGTCGCCAACAGAGACTTAGCATAAGCGCGGGAGGGCCTTTACTTTCCACAAACACCGAGGGGTCGCGCATTTTCCTAATTTCCTTCCGAGAACCGACGGTTTTTGTGTCCGAGAAGACGCCGACGCGGCGCAGCAAATGGAACACCCCATAAATTACGGCGAATTGCCGTTCGCGATGACAACTCAAATGAATCGCATCGGGCTGTCGTAAATCCAGCGTGCCGTGATGTGGCGGCGTTCGTCACTGGCCGCGAACAATGCCCGGACGGCTGTTTAAAGACGCGTCCCTTCGAGTCATGGGTGGCCTGATTAGCGTTGGAACAATAGACGCGCATAAAGCGGACCCCTTAATTGGCGATATTTTTTTTGTTTCTGTGCGTCAATGTGAGTTTATTTCCTTCCCCCTTGTAGCATTTATTTTGTAGCAACATTCATACATTTTTCTGCAGAGATTTCGTCAATGTATTTTAAGAAAATTGCATACAACATAATAATAATAATTTATTAGCCCAACAGAAGTTGCGTCGCAGAGAAGAAGGGCTATATTGAAAGATTCGCTTGTTAAAAAGAGGTGGAAGGTGGCAACAAGCATCCGTGTTGACTGCTGAAGGTCGAATGTAGATAATCGCATAATTTCAAGGCCACGCAGGATATAGAACACTGACAAAGGCTGGAGGCTGTGAAAGTTAGCTGCCAGCGACTATAATGCGAATTCGGAGGGCGCGAAAAATAGTGAACATTTAAAAATCGTATATTTACGTACTCGAAATCTCCCTTGGTAGGTACCTACCTAACTAGTTGCATATGAAAATAGATTTGTATGAAAATTTCTTAAATAACATTAATTATATGATGTAAAATAAAATAACTAAAAGAAAACTTTTGCAATACTATCAAAAACTGCAGGCTTAGCCTCCCCAACCTCCTCTAACGAGCCGCCACTGGGCCAGACGTCAAAAATCCTACCGAAGGTCAACTTCAGGATTAGCGGAGCTATCCCTAAGCGAGTTCGAACGTCCACTCTCTTAATATTTTCTCTTAAAATCTCAGTTTTATTTGAAAACATAGACAGTCAGCGGGTTAGTTGGTTTATTTCGTGCCAAAAATATCACATTATTGCCGCTGCTACAGAAATATGTGCAATCCAGGGCACGCTGCGACCGCAGTCTTTCGAGATCTGCTCCAGCCGCCGCCGTCACGTTCCTCGACATGGAAATAACACTTGCTCCCCCTTCGCGCCGTGATTGTGCATTGTTTCACCCCTCTGGAGAGTACCCATTACCCGTCATTTAAGCGACCCCTCCCAAATAAGGATATTGTTAACAAACTGCCCCGACGGCGCGCACTAATGAATATTTTGTACACTCGAGGGCATTAGTTCTGGCCCACTTTGTCCCTCTGGGACTGTTTATGGCCCGGACTGGAGGATTTATTGTTATTTCGAGTTTATTTCGGTTAATTTATCGACGATATCGCCGGATCGTCCGGCGATTTTATGGGGTTCGGCGGATTTCGACAAAGGACGCGGGGATAAAGAGTTTGCGCCCCATTTGGCGCATTTGATTGCAATTAATTCTTTTGTTTTACGCTCTCTCGTGGAACTATTGCGACATAGATGGGAAGGAGAGCCTAGGGTCGAGGATTCGGATTACGTTCGAGCTCACGTCTCTCGAAACCTCCCTTATTTCCAACTGCAAAAATATTAAGGCTTATAAACGAATGTCGTTGTGGGAAACAACTACTCTGCGGACTAATGCTCTGACCGGCATTGAATTACATTTGCAATATCTAGTACAGATAATTCCATCAAATATATACCGATTCTCATCAGTATGCCATAGATGGTGGTTCGAGTATGGGTGAGATGTAGGGTGTGGTTACCTGCCGAGCTGGGTATGGTGGCGTGTGGGCTCATAAAACCGCCGAGTTTAGCGCTGTGGTGGTAGGAGCTCATGAACAGCTCGCTTTGGTACTTGTAGCTGCTGGGGTCGCTGGTAGCCGGCTGCGTAGCAGCCGCTAGGCCTTGGAAGTCGAACTTGTAGGCGTATCGCTTCCCGTGCACCTTAGTCATGATGTTTTTGTCGTAATAATATCTGAAACAAAACAAAGTTTTTAAAATTAACGAAAAGATTAATTTTGGACTGTAAGTAGAAAATAGCTCAAGAGACAAAAGTTATATAGTGCCGATGAGCGCTTTTGTCTGGAGGTGGAAGCCTTCAAGGGTGTGAAAAGTAAAATATTGAAAATAACCCGACTAATCGATAAATCAATCAATTTTAAGCAAAAAGTATCTTATCAACATTTTTCGATAAGTCAATATTTTCTGAGTTGTTGGTGATTGAACATGTACATTTTTTTATTAGAAAATGACGTTTTTCGGTAGTTTTTCTCGAATAACTCGGAAAATAGACATTCTATGAAAAAAAAAACATCATGAAAAAAATGAAGGTTATGGAAAAAGAAAAAGATTGTTTTTTTCATTTATGTTGTATTTAAAAAAAAAATAACATATTTGAAAATGACTAAAAATAAAAAAGATACGAAAAATATTCAAGAGTACCTACAAAATATATTGTTTTTTATTTACTTTTTTTAATTTTTGACTTTTAGTTATCAATCGAAGATTTGGGTTATCTTTAGCCCAGTATCTTTGAGGTGAAATAACGACATTAGTTGTGAATGTCGATTCGTCAGTAAATAAAATATTGTGATGGTATACAGAAGGTTTTTTGTTGTGGGTCTGTGTTATCAACTAACGTTGAAAATGCGTTTTTAAAACGTACGCGCGCTGCTGGGTTTGCCAACCTCAATTTTTTCGCAATTTCGAGAGTCCGACAGTGGCAACAGCAAAGTTCAAATCTCCGTTTCCATTTTTCCAATCGTTCTCGTTCCGGGCGGGGCCTTTGTCCCAGCTAACGCGATTGTCCCTCGGCCGGGTAAAAATCCTATCAATTAACGAGCAGCCGTCGTCCGAACACAATCCGAAAAATAATTTCCCATTATCGGAACAATCACGTTCACGCAAAAAATCGCTCGGTAAACGCATTAGCCTCTATCGGCCGCTAATTGCTACAAATGAACACTGCAACGAGATTAGTCCGCCCCCTAACGACCCCACGTCGCCGCCCCAGTCGCCCGCCCCCTGTCGTGGGGCCGCTGCCTCGAGGGGACGCCGTCGGCCTCGCTGGTCGATTGTGATATGACGAATGCCATTTGCTCCCGTCGATACAGAACGGCAGTTTTTTTTTTGTTTCGGCCGATCGCTGAAGATTGGTGAGTAATTCGCGGGGGATTGGGGCCGTTTCGGCATTGTGCGATGGAAATTGATAATGGGATAGTCGGCGTACCCCCCTTCGGCGTCAGGGAAGGTTCCTGTTTGGGGTAATACTTAATTATTTACCTACCTTAGCGCCCTGGACAGTTTGTCATAGTTCATGTTCGGCTTCGATTTCCTCTCCCCCCACCTCCTGGCGACTTCGTCCGGGTCGGTCAACTTGAATTCTCCGTTGGTACCCTCCCAGGTTATGCAAGCCGCGTTGGAGGAGTCGCTGAGGAGTTCCAGAAGGAACTGCCACAGTTGGATTTGTCCGGAACCTATAATCAACATCCATACAATTAATACTTAAACTGAGTTGCCTATAAAGTTGACAGATTTATTTAAAATATACCCTAGGAAATGGTATAAATAAAACTTGAGAGCAGAAGATTTACCAACGTTCAGTCGAAGCAAACGTTGGAAAGTCCTGCGAGAATTAAATTTATGTATTTTACTGGGAAAAAAGCAAAGGATTAATTCCTTGCGCGTCTTTATGTCCAGTGAATAGGCATGCACCATCACGTATAAAAAGAGGCAGAGCAATCGGCGGAGTTAGCGGTTCCAAAAATGTTTTCTCGTATCATTGTGATAAGTCAGTAAACATACATTCTACGTATTTCATTTCAAAACGAAGCGTAAACATTTTATAATTAAAATCAGAAAAGGAACCTCTGCAGACGAGGTAAAGAACACGACAATTCCTGAAGAATCATGAATTCTCCTTGGATTTTTTAAGTATAACCCTTGAAGAGATATTAATGTTGTTATGCTAATGACGCTAGTTTGTCAAGACCCTGACAAAGCAATTAACGCGAAGTTGGTCAGATAAACACCTTTTGAAATTTTGCCTACACCGAAAAACGGTATACAGGGTGTTAGAAGTTTGACTGCCTTAATTTTAACAGACGATAGAATACATTAAAATAAATAAAAAAAAAGTTATGTGACATGGGTCCTAAACTCTTTATGCTTAATTCTAAAAAATAATTGTAATAAATTTAAAATTCGATAAAATTCATATCGAGCAATGCGACAACGGCGCGGCGGTTAACACGAGGTACTAAGCTGTCCAGCAATACGCAATTCAGTTGGAATCTGGAATTGGACAGTGTCGGGGTGTTTTTTGCGTACCACCATTTCTTTCCTTGAGGTGTTGTCGAAGACTTGCGAGAACGAATTTTTGCCGCTGCCCATCAAAGTAAGGATAAATCTGGGAATTTTCCAAACGAGTGCGCGAAAAGTGGATTCGAAGGTGTCGCGCGTGCATTCAAAATGTTGGTGAACATTTTGAGCATATGTTGTAGTTTGATTTGTACATGTGCGTTTAAAAACTACTGATGTTTTCTTTTTCATAAGTACCTAAATTAGTTTTAATCCATATGATTATTTGGACGACGTGAATCTTTGGGTACTTTAATAACATATTTTTCAAATTTATAATTTGATTGAAAATTAAGTTCCTGTTTTAAGAAATTCATAATTACTAAAATTCGAGCTAAAATTTAAGCACAACACTATATTCGTACTACAAATCGATACGTTTTATTTTATTTATTTAAAAACTGGAAAACAATTGTCTTGAAATTTACTAAATATTTCACAATAATAGTTGTTTACATTTTTGTTATTCCGTAGGATAAGTCTGTCGCGTGCACACGTGGTGAGCATCAGCTGTGTAGCATTAGGTTAAGAGCTGTTGTCACGTTGTGACAAAACTCCCCAATATTAATACTCGCTGTATTTTGAAAACTGTTAATCTTACGACCCTGTAATATGCAACTTTTTTGTTCATTTATGATTTGAAGAAAAAATGTCTACTTTTTTTTCGAATTCTGTGTAGTTTAGTCAGAAATAATTATTTTTTAAATAATGTATGGCTCAGAATAGTAACTTTTTTTTATCATTTTGACATAGTAGGACTCTTTCATGGTAACAATTTCGTTGTAATGATACTAATGATTGCCACTTTCGCGTGTTATGGTTTAAATTCTTACGTTTCTTTATCTTCTTAGTTTAAACAAGCGCCAGAGCTCTCCTAATTGACGATTTCGAATTTTTCAAAAAACGTTTGAAAGCTTGAGAGCCCTTCTATATGTGATTAAATTTTCAAGTATATAAGGGCCTTGGTTTTTGCTGTGCAAAATTTTAAAAATTTGCAATTTTTTTTTTCAAAATCTGGATTGCAAAATTATTATGCAAAATCTATAGAATCGATTTTGATGAAATTTGGTGTAATGATTCTATATAACATGAACTATTATTGAGCCAAGTATGAAGGTCCTACACCCAACTTGAAGACCCCAAAAAATTCCCTAAAAAATTATCTTTTTAACCCCATTTTTGGCGATTTTTTCGATTTTTACAATAATAATCATGATTCATTCGATTTGTAACTAGTAATATTTTGTAAAATTTAATTACAAACATTTTTTTCCTCTTCCATTTTCTCCTAAAATCAACTCTTGAAAAGATACATAATTAAATGGGAAGAAAAAAATGACATTTTTCGAATTTTTTTAACATATTGTGCCGCCAAAAGTTAAGCCCACGTTTTTATTTTATACGCATAGAAAAATTTTAATTTCTAGTGAAATTTGAAAGCCGAAAGCCAAAAATCTCCGTGGATATACGATTCACCCAAATTTGGACTCTTTGAAACAGATACCGTCTGGACTAATGAAAGATGCCTATTATGTTTTAAAAAATCTTACTGTTCTGAGTAGGCTTGCCAGGTCTCCGGGTTTGACCCGGAGTCTTCGGGTTTTGATGGTACATCTCCGGGCTCCGGGTTAATATGTCATTTCTCCGGGTTAAGACGTCGTACCCCCGAAATTTATTTTCCTGAGAAATCTGATTGTTTTGTCCATTGAGCTGCTGTAGACTTTTTTTTTTTAGAGATCGATTTCCTCGTAAACGATTTGACTTCAAAATTTCCTAAAGACTTTTTTTTTTTGGACATCAATTTCTCCGGGTCTGTCATGAAATAGATCTGGCAACCCTAGTTCTGAGCCATACATTATTTAAAAAATAATTATTTCTGACTAAACTACGCAGAATTCGAAAAAGAAAGTAGACATGTTTTCTTCAAAAAAGTCTAATTCATTAAAAAATAATATTATTTGCTTGATTATTCAAAGGAATAAAAAAAATTCGAAAAATTTCTGTTAAGAGTAGTTACAAAACTATTTTTATTTATAACGGATTTTGATTAAACTTATGGTAGTTAAAGATAAGGACCCTTATGTTACGATTATTACCAATAATTTTCATTCCGTTATCTTAATCAGAAAGTAATTTTAAAAATATCCAAATGATAAGACCCCTTTGGAGGGCCATATCTCAGTAACGGTTCTCCGAAGGACCAATGTTTATGGGAACTTTTTTTGTTATTTTTGGCTCTACTTTCACCCCCTTAAAGTTTGTACCAACTTTTCCAAACACCCTGTATATTTACGTTTAATAGATAGCCAGCATAGCGCTGTGTATACACCCGACTTCTAAATCCGGATTTTCGTTACCAAACCGTTTTCTTAGTGTAACTTCGATCGGCCGTCGCGATATCCGTAATTACGCCGCGTTGTAAAAATTAGCTCGGGACTTTACAATTCAAATTCGCCGGAATATAATTTAATTGTGTGCCGCCGACGGCGGCCGGACATGTGTCGTCGTCCCACCCCGGCCCAGGACATGCGTCCGTTTCCTTCCGCCGTGGCGCCATTTACAAGTTAAATGATGCGGATTTGAATTTCTAATGCGACCGACGGACGTTTGACACAAACATGATTACCGAATTAAGCGCGGCGCGATCGAGGCGGCGAGTTTCGTTTTTCTTTTGTTTCTTCTCGGCCGCCTCGAAGTAATGTTTATAACGTGGTGTTGCGTAATTCAAAGCCGCCCGCTGCTACGCTGGCAACTGGACTGATTTGCTTATTGTTAATAAACAAATATTTGTGCATATCTGCCATATTCCTTGCTATTTTCGCTTTCCCAGCGCTCGCATGTCGAACCGGAATCAAACCAAACAACTCCCGTCCTCCGGTAATCACCGTACCTGAGGCGGTCACGTGTCGCGTTTTTAGGTTAGGTCGCGGGGGGGTTACGCGTCGCAGTCACCCTCGCAGAAACAAAAGCCGAGCGGCCGCCCGAGGCTATCATTAAACGTGCATTAGCTGGCATTTAACTCGTTTTTCATCTGTAAATCTGGCGGTCGCGCCCACTTTTGACCCGCGCCGACAGTAATTTTATTTGCGCGCCTAATGAGTTCGGGATCGGGCACGATAATTGTTTGTATGCACTGGGGGAGGGTGGGCGAGGGGGTCGTTACGGGCGATATATCATGGGAACGGTGGTTGCAACGTATTTGACTTTATCTGATTTTCAGTAGGAAAAAAGTTCATGCGCAATATGTGCGTAGAAAACGATAACGTAGTTTGTTTAAATTAAAAAAAAAAACATCCAGTAACATCGTTATACAAGGTGTAAGAAGTTCGACTGCCATTACTTCAGCGTAAGATCATAAATGAACAAAAAAGTTGTATAAGGGAGTAAGATTAACAGTTTTCACAATACAGCGAGTATTAATATTGGGGTTTCATCACAACGTGACAACAGCGCTTAACCTAACGCTACACAGCTGATGCTCACCACGTGTGCACGCGACAGATTTATCCTACGGAATAACAAAAATGTAAACAACTATTTTTATTGTGAAACATTTAGTAAATTTCAAGACAAAACAAACTACAACATATGCTCAAAATGTTCACCAACATTTTGGATGCACGCGCGACACCTTCGAATCCAATTTTCGCGCAGTCGTTTGGAAAATATCCGGATTTATCCTTATTTGATGAGCAATGCCAAAAATTCGTTCTCGCAAGCCTTCGACAACACCTCAAGAAAAAGTAATAGTGGTACGCAAAGAACACTCCGACACGGTCCAATTCCAGATACCAACTGAATTGCGTATTGCGGGTTGCTGGACAGCTTCGAACTTTAAATTTATTACAACGCCAATTATTTTTTTTAAATTAAGCATTAATAGACCAGGCGGGATCTGTTTCAAAACACCCATGTATGGATGTTTTATATAGTATCGCAAATTTTTGCTTTAATGGCTCTAAAATTATATAACACAAAACATAATTACACTATGCGCGCTCTTCAAAACGTGTGCTAAACTTATTATTAAACAAATAGTGAAAAAAAAATGGAAAAAATTCCAATTTTTTTTTCAATTTTTTTCAACACAGTTGACAAACTATTAATTTTAGAGAAAAATTTAAGAGGAAAAAAGGATTCGTAATTAAATTTTACACATGATATACCTATTTTCAAATAAAAAATACAGCATAATTATTACAAATATAGCAAAAACAACAAATAAAGTGAAAAAAAAATATTTTTGCGATTTTTAAAAGTACTTATATTATAATTTCGTTAAAATCGGTCCTATAGTTTTCGAGTAATAATTTTGCAAACCAGATTTTTGAAAAAAATATTGAAATTTTTGCAATTTTAACAGAGCCTAAATTAAGACTTCTAGATACTTGAAGATTTTATCCCGTAAAAAAGGACACTCAAACTTTAAAATGCATCCAGATAAATTGAAATCCGTTAATTAGGAGAGCCGTGGTAATTGTTTAAATATATGCGTAAGTTTTGCGCTTATAAACAAATAGAATAACTTTATAAATTCATTATAATTATTTTTTTTAATTATGCTTTTAAAATACACGGAAAGACGCTTCTTTTTTTAAAAAAACCGTGGTGATTCGTTAATTGGTTCCAGAGTTATAGTCGATCAAAGTTGACCGGCATTTGTGGCGTAACTACGAGGTCCGGAGGGCTGTTTTTTAAACAAATGCTTTTGTCATTCCGAGTACTTTCCGAGAGTGAATTTGCAAAACTTGCGCCCTTGTGCAACCCATTTAAAATGCCGATTAAAACTATTGGAACGAGCCTGAAATTCACGAAAAATATATGGGAGGTAGTGGTGGGGGGTAGAGAGCTCGGCTACTCCGGCCGACTCGAAAATGAATCGCGCGTTCAAAATAGCGGCGCTCTTAAAAATTTTGATTATTTCGGCTTCTAGTGGTCCGATTTTGATGTTTTTTTTTTTTAAATCGATGTCTCGACATTTTAAGGTAATTATGTTTTTTTGCAGTAAACAATTTTTTTGCCGCGGTAGTCTTTCTTTGTTACGTCAACTATCCATTTGCCATCGACACGTCCTGTAGATTTAGATGGAAGCCATGGTCCTCCTAAACCCGTTAACACATGGTCAGATACTACCAAAAGAAGTTCATGTCGAATAATTTTTCCTCCTAGCTGCCACACTTTGTGGTGTTACGACTTCAGAAAGTGACCGCGAACGGTTCGTTTCGATTTAAACCCGTCGCGGCAGTGTTCACGCGCCCTTAGCGTTTTTCGGGCGTCATAAATATTTTAAGATACCCAGAAACTATGTCGCCTTTGTAATGAGTCCGAACGAGTCGAGAAATATGCAAATTTTTTACGACTACGGCTTATCGCCGGCCGCGATAAAATTATTATCCTCCGTTTTATTGCCTTCTCGGTTTCCGATTGCTCTATTATCCGGCACAACCAACCGAAATTGCTAAATAATTCCAAGCTAGATTCTCGTAATTTATAGTGGATTAGGGCCTTACCTGAACTCGCTAAACGACTACTTGTGGGTCCAAACATTTGATATGGATCTGAAACAAAAAAAAAAGAAAGTCGGGTTTAATATGGGAATTGCGTTTCGCGGGATTTTTATTACGCCGAAAAGGACGCTAATGGCCGATCAAGACAGAAATATATTTAATGGTGCGATATTAAATGGACCGAAGCAGATATCGGGGTGGCGCACAAAGAATATTAAAAGTTGGAAAAAAAAACTAATGATCATGCCACTCAAAATACACTCGATCACGTAGGTATCTAGCAATCCATCTTGTGGGAATAAATTACAGGATCTAGACACCTGGTAGTTTGTACTGGGACAGGAAACGTGTTTTTCGCCCCGAAATATAATTATTTTTGTTTTATGCGACTTACAATTTAGACAAGGCGAAAACCTCGCATTCGAATGGATTTTTTTGCATATTCAGATTAGTGAAACATGAATCAAGATGATGCCGGCCGGAAATCTGTAAAAATTGTAAACATTGATTTTTTCACTCCGGAAAAAGGTTTTCTGGCACATTATAAACAAAAAAGTTCCTATGCACTATGCCTCTAAAATTAATAGTTTTAAAGTCTTGAATCATGTTAAGGAACATCTCACGAATCTGAATATGCAAAAAAATCGAGTCGGAAAATTTCTCCCAACAATGCGAGGTTTTTAGCCTTGTCTAATTAGAGAAACTTAATGACAGTGTATATCCTTTATTTTTTTTTTAATTAGAGAAAATATAGAACTTTATAGAATAATTACACCTTTAATGATTAATTTTCTGTAACTCTGTAATATTATTCGTAATACATTTTTTATTTAATTTAAATACGCCGCTGAACTTTGTCGATTTATTTCCCGTCGCCGCTATTTATTCGTCGCTGACAGAAAAATTGGTAAATTTGTCTTTGTAATTCCCTCGGACGTAATTACGAGAGTGAAAGCCCGTATCCGTCCTTTTCTTGGAAAAAATAAAGCTCATATATCCCCGTTGAAAAAGTTCCGATTAGAGGAATTTACATAAAAATGTAAAAGGAAATTGGGATAATTAACTATATTTGTACCGGGACCCCCTTTTATTATACCGGGGGCAGACGTATAAATATGCATATATTCGCGTGTAAAGATGTAGAGATTTACGATTAGAATGCCGGGTATAAAAAGCGTATTATAACAGAAATAAAATAACAGGCGTAATATCCCCTTTCTGGGACACGAATTTTCGAGTAATAAAGCAACTTATATTGCTCCCGCTTATGTCGGGGGGGTTCCTGGAAAGCAATTTTCTCATTGGTGTACATGCAACGTCGGTAATAAACTATCCAGACCGCTGGAGTTTCACCACGATCTAGAACGACGTTTGGGTTCAGAGAAAAAGCGATCAAATGTCACTCAGTCACGTTTTTAGGTATATAGTCCAGTTACTCAGGGTTTTTACCTCTGAATTCTTTATAACTGAACCGATTGACGTGAAATTTTGACTGAATGTAGGGAAGGCCTCAAGGAACAAAACTTATATAGTGCAGAAGTGTGATTTTGCCCTGGGGGTGGTTCCCACCCCTTCTCGGGGGTGGAAATTTTTACGCCCAAAATAACCACAGGAATCGGTAGAGGAGCCAATTATAACTAACAAATGTTATATAAAGTTTTTCGGATAATCCAATACTTTTCGAGTAATTCGTCATTGACAATGTTGATTTTTTACTGAAAAAGTGCTTGTTTTCGGACAGTTTTTTGCAAATAACTCTGAAACCCTTGGATTTAACGAAAAAGTTGAAATGGACAAAAAGAATGGTAATAAAAAATAAATCTAATGGTATTATTTTGTTTTTCTTTAATTGCAATATATGTAAACTAAGATATGGATTTTTAAACATTATTATATGTTAGCTAAAACCTAAATTGGAATCAGTTAACGTTAAATAACGCCAAAACCGTAAATATTAGGAAAAAAAAACTATTTGAACCTTTTTTAAAGTACTTTGAATAACCTTTAAAATGAGCTGTTTTAAAAGTTTTTAGAATCAAAATTAACGGAAATATGGTCGAAATAACATGATAACTTTTAAAACCTGTTTTAAAAAATTTGGTTTGGTTGAAGTAGGGAGGAAGATGAGCCTAATTCTAAATTTTGAGAAAAATCGATGCAGTTATACAAAATTTGGGGTATTACTATATTTTCAGCTACCTTAACTGGGCTAAAAGTATACCTAATTGTAAGTTGAATATCCCATAATATGGCAACATTGCATGTTCATGTTTACTATAGTCCTTGAAGTGCGGTGTTTAAAATTTCTTCTAATTTGAAAATAATTTTGTCGAATTTTATCTACATTGTGTACCGATCATATTCACGTTATTATTTGAAATAAATATTAAAAAGTCAATACCTGAGCAGGGATTGAACCCACTACCTCTCGCATGAAAGGCTAACGCGCAGAGCTTTGCACCACTAGACCACGTTTAGTAAGTGTTCAAGTCATGGCTTATATACGTAGCTGTATTTTGAAATACCTAATTTGTGATTACATAATATGTTATAGTACAAAAATGATAACATCATGTAAACAAATTAACTATATATTGAATAAATGAATCTAAAAAAAGGGTGATACAATTTTTGCTACTGTTTCCAAATTGCAAGAAATTTGGGATAGGACGCTTCCTGAAGAGTGCGAGGTAGGCCTGCCAGATTTAAAACTTACTATTTTGTATAACATTTTTTATATTATTTTCATCCAAAGGGGTGGTTTTTAAAGGTTTTTCCGGGTTGAAAATTTAGGATACATTAAGTTTCATAGCATATAGCATATGAAATTACTCATACTGCATAAATAAAAAAGATTTGATTACATAAAATGCTTAATTGGTATTTTTTCTTTTTTTTTCAATAAGGGGTGGTTTTCATCCCTTAAGAACAAAAAGCACACATAGCGCATATATAAGTTTTGAAGTGGGGGGTAAGATGAGCCTAATTTTAAATTTTGAGAAAAATCGATTCAGTTATAAAAAATTCGGAGGTATTACTATATTTTCAGTTACAGTAACTGGGCTAATATACGTGTAACTTTTTGTAACTTACAAAATACCCTGTATAATGATATACGGTGTGTTTGATTTCAAATGAATACATAGCCATAATTTCCTTTACAAGAGAGATAGGAAAAAATGTCTTAACTCTTGTTTAAAGGCCGTCTTTCTACACTTTCCGGTACAATAGTGTGTAAGAAATCGGAATGAAAGCGAAATCCCATTACCGCAAAACATGTGACGATCGGTGCCGGACCCGAGCGAAAGAAAAATTTAATTGTACCACCGTATTCCCCAGCGAAACAGAAGGGACGTACACAAGAGGGCAATGTTTGGGTAATGCGACAATCATCGAATCAGTACAGGGCCATAATCAGGTAATTATTGAATCTGGCTTTGATCGACGACTTATTAGGCGCTGGGGGTTTCACCCTCGGCCTGGGGCTCCCCGGACGGCAATCATCTGCCGGTTACTCCGTAGAACGGTACAATGTTACAGTCTATTTATTATCTTATATTGGTTTGTTCATTTGTCGGGGCGGTCTTGACCTTTTTCTGGCGATGTCTCTGAAAATGTATTCAATGTTTCATTAAAAGGTTGGTATGGGGATATGTTTGTCACTCTATAACTAGATGTGAACCCATCTAGGGAAGTTAAAACAGATGTCTACCGTTGAAAAACGGTAGATTTCGCACAATTTAATTGTTATTTAATAAAATACAGAATTATACTTATTTTTCAATTCTCTCTAACGGTAAAACCAATGATTATTTTGAGCTCCCAATTTTTATACATACCCATTGGAGCCTCAACTATCAATCCCCATTTAAAAATTTTCGAATTTATCCATTTTAGCAACAATTAGAATTTTTTCAAAATTTCTTGGAAAAAATACTGCTGGAGCTACCGTATTTGCATATTCTTCAAATGTAGTTATAGGATCAAACAGAGGAAGTATTGACGAACAAAATCCACTTTTGATCTTGTGGATACGATGAGTCGGCATAAGAAAGCTCAAAGTTGAAGTGAGTTTACGGCAAAACAACGTACAATAACAATCGCAAGTGATTTTGATTGTTTAAAGCAAAGATTATATAACTACGAGAATTTATTTAAATCGGAAACATATTTTAACTGTTCTAATGCAAAAAAGATTAGTATATTTCACAGGAATCGAGCAGATAGTCAAAGGGGGGGGGGGCTATGCGAGCAGAGCAGCATAATTGACTCGCATAACTTCAATCGACTTTTTCTCAGCTCCTACAACAGATAAATAGATTATTATTTTTAAATCGATAGAGGAAAGCAAGATTTTATAATGTCGATTAAAAAAATCTTTCGATTTAAATTTATATGCAAAGTAAAGAACAATAAAGTAGATAACATACGGTATAATGTATACAAAATCCAGCTACGAAAACTTTTATTAATACTTCATAAAAATGAAAATAGGCTTGTTAAAGTAAAAGGAAATTTACTACTTATGGAAAGTAGAAAAATATAATAGCATTTTCTTGCATTATAAAGTCATATTTATCTTTATATCACGAATATGCTCCTGCAGCAATTGAAATCTCAAGAAGTAACGCACAAATTACTGTCAAGGTCGTTTTACAGCAAAATAATAGCGACTAGATTCGTTATCTGTTGTAGAAGCTGACAAAAAATTGAAATTGCTCTTTGCTCGATTCTTGTGAAATGTATCAATCTTTTTTGCATCAGAACAGTTAGAGATGTTTTAAAATCTTATGAGCTTTGACCTTCATATGCGTAGAAACATAATTCCAACCGTCTCCTAAATTATTCTACGTCTTAAAAACATTACACCTATTATTTACAGTCTCTCTCGAGCTCTAGCGTAAACAAGCCTTTGATCCGATTACAAATATCATAATAAAATGCCCTATTCTTTATTATTTTAATTTAAACTATAAAAATATATGTAACGAACGTTCGCCAGTTGACTTTATTGATGCCCGAGCGCCTTAGTTCATGTCTACTTGTAATGA